TTAGTTTATGAGAGGTTTCTTCTAGTATGGTCGAATATTATTCATTTACTTCAAATATTTGACTTTCTTTTTGTTATAAAAAAATTTATTGAAACAATTAACGCATATAAATATATTTAAAACGTTTTAGTCACACGTTCCACACCATGGTTCGAAAAATGCCCTTAAAATAACAAATTGCATTAGAGAATGACATAGCAGAAGGACGTCATAGGCTTACCTCAAACAAATCTGTCTGCAGCCCATAATGAGTAGGTTGTGGGCATGCTGATCTGACAACTAGAACAACCAATCCCAACTCATATGCTATAAATAAGGATAGGGATCCAAAGCCCCATTCACCAAACCTACAAATTTCATTAGTTTTGCAACTTTTCTCTTCAGTCGTAAGCAAAATGGCCACCACAACAAACCTACTGCTTACAGACCTCATGTCTGGTGTGAACCATATCCCTTCAAACTACATCAGACCCATCTCCGACCGTCCAAATCTCACTGATTTTCAGGTATCAGATGCCTCCTCCATTCCTCTAATTGATCTCAAGGACCTCCATGGCCCAAAGCACTCGGATATTATCAAACAGATTGGTCTAGCATGCCAGACTGATGGTTTCTTTCAGGTAACAATTAAAACACACATATATATGTATATACTTCGGCAAATGATTTCGACACCTCTTTTCTCCATCTGCATACCCTGTTGATTAGTGCCGTTGTTTCTCCTTGTATACTTAGTATCCCATTACTTTATACTTAATTATACTTAAGTACATGTTTAGTATGAATGTGAGTACTACTATATATTACGACTAAATTATGCACCAACCATTTTATATCAGGTGAAAACCCATGGAGTTCCAGAGATAATGATAAAAAATATGTTGAATATAGCAAGAGAGTTTTTCCAATTACCAGAGAGCGAGAGGTTGAAGATGTACTCAGATGACCCTTCTAAGACAACCAGGCTCTCCACCAGTTTCAATGTCCGGACTGAAAAACTGTCCAACTGGAGGGACTTCCTTCGGCTCCATTGCTACCCTCTTCAAGACTATGTCCAAGAATGGCCTAAAAATCCCCCATTGTTCAGGTAAATAGGGTTGCCTTCTTTTTCATCATCTTATGCTAGTACTTAAATATTCAAACCAACTAGCGTTTTCTAACCAGACTTCTTATATTGTTAAGATGTAAATCTGAGCACACATACACAGTCTAGCAAAAGAATATTGTCCAATTGAATTTATTAGTTTAGTTAAATAAGGGCAGCCTTTTGTCATCGTCTCAGACTAACGTTCCTTGTCTGGTTTATGTTGCTGAATAAATGCTCATCTTGTCAAACTTTGAATATGAACTATATATACATCTTGTCAAACATCAAACTGACCAATGATCTAAGTTCCAGTCTAACAGAAGAGCATCGTCGTAGACAAGTTCATTTGTTTCTAATTAATTACATCCAAGTCACACAACTGAATGAGATGCACTTTGTTCACAGGGAGCAAGTGGGTGAGTACTGCACAAATGTGAGAGGATTGGTGCTGAGATTGCTTGAGGCCATATCAGAGAGTTTGGGCTTGGAAAAGAACTGTATTGTTAAGGCATTGGGGAAGCAAGGGCAGCATATGGCTTTGAATTACTATCCACCTTGTCCACAGCCAGAGCTGACTTATGGATTGCCTGGACATACTGATGCCAACCTAATCACCGTCCTTCTCCAAGATGAAGTGCCTGGATTGCAGGTCCTTAGAAATGGCAAATGGATTGCTGTAAACCCTATTCCCAACACTTTCATTGTCAATATTGGTGATATGATGCAGGTAAACACTATATCCAAAATGTATTATGTTTCGGTGTATCTTATCAAACAAAATTTTGTCATTAGATATTGGTCAATGGATCATGGATGAAGGATCTAATGACTGAAAAATAATACTACTACGCTTCAATGTATTCTATCTTAATTGATTTTTGGTTATTGGATTGTTGACCAAGGACCCAATGGCCAACAGATCACATGGGTTATACAAATTCTAAGAGCATATTGGAAAATCCCTCCACGGCATGAAATCTTGATTTCTTTGTTTTTTTTTTTCTCACTTGATCAGTTACATAAGACATGAAATAATAGATGATGGTACTACTCCCAAGATAATTAAGCTCATTTATTCCTAGCAAGCGAGACTTGTCCAAGTAGAGGGACAAAGCTTTTGTGACACGAGTAAAATTTGAAATTGATTTTGAACATATTTACCATTTTATTTGGTATCAGGTAATTAGCAACAATCGGTACAAGAGTGTACTCCATAGAGCTGTGGTAAACAGTAACTCAGAGAGAATATCGATTCCAACTTTCTACTGTCCATCACCAGATGCAGTAATTGGGCCTGCCAAGGAGCTCCTCAACTATGACCACCCAGCCATGTACAGGAACTTCACATATGCCGAGTACTATGAGAAATTCTGGAATAAAGGACTTGCGACTGAGTGCTGCTTAGACTTGTTTAAACCCACTTGAATATGTGCGTGCAATTTCATGTCACCACCTTTGGACAAGTACACAAATGGCCTCAAAAAATGGTCTACTTTAGTTTGAGTGTTGAGATGTCTTATATTTTCAGTAGTACGTATATTTATCTAAAATAGATATTGAAACTATTTTTATTTTTTATTTCATTTATAAGTTTAAGAATAAATACGAAAATAAAAAGTACGTAATTTACATTAGAATCAATAAAGTATCACTATTATGTCGATATTGTTGATCTCCACTTGAATCTGCTATAGCTATAGTAATAAAGTTATTTGAGAATTTTACAGTACTTGCCTTAATGTCATGGAGTAAAATTTTATCTTCTCGAATTTTCATCCCCTTCCCTTCTTCTCCTCTCACATATTGTTTTTTGTCATTTTCTGGCTATTAAAAAACTAACATAAAACGTTGACGTGGTTTAATCGTAACTATTCAAATAGGAGAAGAGAGAAGGAAAACTAAGAAGGGAAGATAATCCTACTCTCAATGCCATAACTTAAGGAGCTCCTGACTCCATCCACTAACGCATTGCCATATGTTATGATATCGTTTTCTAGAAGAAGACCAACGTTAAATATAAAATGGTGCAGTGAAGCCCCCAAAATAGAAGTTACACGAAAACAGATTAGTCTCATGCACAATTTCAGAATCGTGATGAATTTGAAAACCCTTTTTACCTCTCATGCCTATATAACATTTCACAACAACATAAACGAGCATTCCAAACAAAAAATCAAAACTCCAAGACAAGGAAAAAACGGCTGAAATGTCCACCATTAATGGAGAAGAGGAAGCTGACTCCCAATATGCTTTGCAATTGGCAAACGTATCAGTATTGCCTATGGTGCTTAAAGCAGCTTGGTGTGCTTGACATTATCCACAAAGCTGGCACGGGAGCCCTGCTTTCGCCTTCCCAAATAGCGTCTCAGCTTCGATCTCTCCACAATCCGGAAGCCCCTTCAGTTCTTGATCGCATGTTTCCTTCTTTCTGCTTACTCTATTCTCACTTGCTCGACAATCCAAGCTAATGGGAAGGTTATTAGGGCTTATGGGTTGGCACCTGTCTCCAAATACTTTATTAAGAACCAGGATGGTGCGTCTCTGGCACCATTACTCAATTTGTGCCATGACAAGTTCATCCTATATAGCTGGTACTAGTACAACCTTTTACAAAACCCTGTTAATTTAATCAGCTTTGTTTGAACTGATAGTATGACACGTGTGCAAAAACTTTTCATGTTGTGTTATAAACAAGTTATTTATGTATACGCGTCAAACTATTATTGATTTGCAAGTAAAGAACCTAACAAAGTTCATTTCTTTTGCATCAGTGCAGCCATCTTCATAGGTCACCATTCCTGCAGGTACCATTTGAAAGATGCAGTTTTGGAAGGAGGACTCCCATTTAGCCAGGCCTATGGAATGAATGTGGTGGATTACATTGGTAGGGATGACAGACTTGGTGGAGTGTTTCAGGACTCAATGAAAGAGTTTAACCTCATTTTTATAAAGGAGATTCTGAAGATTTACACGGGTTTCGAAGGTCTAAGTACACTGGTAGATGTGGGTGGTGGCGACGGTACTATTCTTAACATGATAATCTGCAAGCACCCTGTCATCAAGGGCATCAACTATGATTTGCCTTCAGTTGTTGAAAAGTCTCCCTCCCATCCCAGTATGATATAAATTTTTCACTAACCATTGGACAATTTCGTGTAGCTCTTCGTAGTTCACTTTGCTTTGCTAACTCACTGAAAGAGTTTTGCTTCAGGTATAGAGCACATTACAGCAGCTATGTTTGTGAGGATTCCGAAAAGCGATGCCATTTTCATGAAGGTGAGGTTTCTGAGAATTATTCGACTGCTTATTTACAAAGCAAGTTCAAAAGCAAACATCTACTTCGGCTGAACCAAAATTTTTAATACAACTATGGGCACTCTAGCTTGTTTACCCCTACAATTAAGTTTCGTGTTCAAACCGATCCAACCCAATATCATTCAACTAGTTACACTTTCGACAGCTTTCAACTAATGCAAATGATTTTATTAACAATGGATACTACACGGTTGGGATGACGATCGATGCTTGATGATACTGAAGAATTGCTATGAGGCCTTGCCAAACAACGGAAAAGTGATAGTGGTGGATATGGTGATACAAGAAGCCCCTGAAACAACTCTTTCTGCTAAAAGTTTGTTTCTGTTTGATGTGTGCCTAATGAATACCAATGTGATGGGAAAGGAGAGAACAGAGAGAGAATTACAAAGTTTGGCAAAAGCGGCAGGATTTTCAGACATTCGAGTTGCTTGTTCCGCTTTTACCTTTTCCATCCTGGAACTGTTAAAGAATATGTAGTTTCCAGTTGGATATGTTTTGTTACTGTAATCTTTTGAGTTTCAAAAACATTATACTAAACTTTCATTCATTGACGAGATAAGTATACTTAACAAGAAAGGAACATATAAGGAACATATAAGAGCAAAACAATGGGATGATGGATTATAATCTGTCAAAGTCTTAAAAACTCCAAACTGACCTAATTACAGCAGTCGGGCATTGACACATCGTCTCTCTCCATCTCTACTGACGTTCTATCTGAATCGTTACATGACTGATATTATATTCTCTCTTGATGTAGTCTACAACCTTTTCCAGCACCACATCGGCATTAGCATCCGGCTTAACGATAACATGACAAGCCATTAACACCTTCCCAACAGTTATCGCCCATATGTGCAGCTCGTGAATGGCAACTACCTCATCCATCTCGCAGAGACCTTTCTCAATCTTTGTGGCATCAATCTCTCTGGGAGTGCTCTCCATCAAAACCTCCAAAATGTTCCTCAACATCCGGATTGTTGTCGCCAGCACGATTACTGAAAATACAAGAGTACATATCAGATCAATAATCTTCCACTCTGGCTTGTACCAGATAAGCCCTCCACCAATCATCACTCCAATACTCTGAATGGAATCGCCAAGTACATGAAGATAAGCCCCCTGCACATTGATGTTTCGTTGCTTCTTCTTTTTACCTTCTGGTTTCTTTTCACCTTCAGAGCTATGATTGAGCAGAGGTTCTGTGATGTTAATTACATCGGTATGATGGTGCTTGTCGTCATGATTCGAGTGCGCCTCATGATGATGAGAGTGATGTGTTGTCACAGTAATCCCATGGTTATGGGTCTCATCATGATCCTCATGACTATGATTATGATCACCATGTCCATGACCATGCCCACCATGGCCATGTCCATGTCCGTGATCGTGCCCATGATCATGACCCAATAAGAGTGCCATGGCGATATTAACCAGTAAACCAAACGCAGAAACAAGAAACATGAGAAAGCCCTCAACTTCACCAGTGTCATGGATAAGTCTTGCAATGGCTTCATAAACAAGGATCCCAGCAAGCAGCCAAATCATCTGAATGGAAACAAGAGCACCTAGTATTTCAATCCGGAAGAAGCCATACGACTGACGAGGAGTTGCCTCCCATCCTGATGCCCAAAGTGAGAACAAAGAAATTGCAAATGCGGCAACATCTGACAACAAATGAGCCGCATCAGTGAGAATCGCAAGACTGTTGGCTTTGATACCCCCAACAACCTCCACACTCATGAAAATGACACAGAGGACAACCGCTATCAAAAGCTTCCGCATGGATGCTGACCGTTCCTGTGTGTCTTTGGAACTAGTTTTAGCATCTGAAAATCCGCACGGTGCATCCCCACAAATCTTGGTCCCACACAAGCTCGTATCTGTAGCTGGCACATCTCCACCTACTTCAACAATATGCGAATGCCCAGAATTTTGAGCTTCCATCTGAAAGGCAATAAGAAATTGTAAGAGATGATGAAGCCTTAGTAAATTCTGGCAAATCTTTTTGTCAGATATAACCATACGAATCATATAGTAAATAATAAAAACAAGCTTGAGAACAATAACAGCGGGAAAAGGACAACATAGAGCTAACTCAACGAATATAAGGCAGCAAACCAAAACGATATAGAGAATACAAGCACCTCAACAAGCATCTTATTGGCTGTCCTGAAAATCAATAGGAGCAAAAGAAATATGTGTTCTCTTATGTCACCTCCCTAACTAGTTTATTTGAATAACAGACGCTCAACAGAACACTCGATACATACACAACGAATGTAATGTACTCTGCCCAATCCGATATTTACTCAACCATCTGCCAGATATCGAAAACCAACCCACTTAGGGTATATTTGTCTTCCCAACAATCATAATCACAGGTTAGACAGCGTCTACAAATACTGGACTTCAAATCCGAAAATTTGCTCAGACGCCAAACCTACAAGAAGTGTACAACCAAAACTATGCAACCCAAATCAAAGCCACAAACAATCGGAGGGAGAAAGTACTGGAAATTTTGGGTAGAGCTCCTTCATATACGTCAAGCACCGTGACCCTTTCGACAAGAACATATGGTGTGAAGCATAAATAATATACATCCCTGCAACATTAATGCTTATACAATAACTAGTACCTACTTAGTTGAAGAAAAACACAGTATACAGCTACCGCCACATCACGAAAATTCAATTGAGATACATTATACATAAGAATAAAATAAAATTTTCACGAGGGATACATGAATACAATAAATAGGGGTACGATTGAGCAATCCTCTGGCAAGCAATCAACAGAGAATGCATACCTTAATCAGAGAACATAAAAATTATATAAATTATGGAACTTTATCTTTCAAAAACCCAACTGGCAACCAAGAAATCTTTACACCGGTGGGCAACGAGTGCATTAATACAACCAAACAAAAATCACGAGACCCACAAGGAATATCACCAACAAAGTGCAGAAAAACAGAGCAGAATCCTAAACATGTAATCAAAACCAACAGACCCAAACGAGATAATATTAAAAACTTAACATCTCCCTCGATTTTGAGAATCTGGGTAATTGAAAAGACATCGAATTTATGAATTCCGCCACATAAAAATCGAAACTTGAACACTTAATGAATCAAGAGAGAGATAAAGGGTTAGAGAGAGTGATACCTTTTGAATACGGTATTGCCCAGAAGGGAAAGGTTGATGCTTGGAACATGATACATAGGTATCCCATATATATAATGGGCTTAGAATCCCAACTTGTGTGGAGAAGGTTCCTCTATCCAATTGGTGATAATTTGCATTCCTTGTTTGTTTCTCATTCAATGACAATTAAGGACTGATTTTATTTTTATTATTTTGCCTTTAAAAGGCCTTCTGCCTTTTGGACCGCCAACACGTGGAATGGTTTTTTGGGTATTTTAATCCTTTCAAGACTCTGATGACGTTCTTGTCATAAAAAATAAATTAAAAAAAATTAAAAAAAATTAAAAATTAAAAAAAAAATCTAATAACATTTGGTATTTTTGTTTTGATGGAAATAACATTCGGTATTTTATTAAGTGTCTAACTTGTGTAAGAGATTTATGTTGGATTCTCGTCAAAAACAAATTTGAACCATATTATTATTAGTTCATTGTGAGTTTTAGTCTACCCCTCCTCCTGGAGTATAGATAGTATCGTTTGTTCAAAAAAAAAAAAAACTTGTGTATTGATAGTTTTGAGTTCGATTTATTCCTTTATTGTTCGTAGAAAACAAGTAAAATAAATTGACCTTACTTTAACATGACTTAAATCTAATCCCAAAACAAAGCAAAAACCTAAACAACTAGGAAATCCAAACAAAGATGGTAATCCTTTGTGATATGATTTTGACTTGTTGAGTCATGACTCATTTGGAAGTGCTTTTAAAATGATTGAAAGTATTTTTATTGAAATTGATTTTTGGTTCCAATAACACTTTGTTCTTTGGAAGAAGCACCATATATCTGTTTCTTGGATGAAGCACTTAAAGTGCTTTTTCAAAATCCACTTGAATTTTTGCTAAGGATTAATTTAAAAAACATTTTCACCAAAAACGTTTTCAGTCATTCTAAAAGCACATTAAAAAATTTTAGTCAACTTGAGAATACGAATGAGGCTAAATTCCCATTTATTAAATTTTTTGAGTTAACGTATCCATGCACAAACACACATTAGAAGAAGAAAAAAACATATAATTTATGACAAACATACTATCGATATCCTAACCTTTAAACTAATCACATGGGAATTTTCTACTCTCATCCACCAGCTGTCTTTGACTAATTCTGAAGAACACTAAATGCAGAGCAATGAATTAAAATACAAATTGCATAAACCAACTAGTTCCAATAGAAATATAAATAATAAAATAAAGAGAGCAAATTGCCACACGTGTACAGTTGTGGCAAGAGACTAGTAATGATCATCCATAATTATAATTTTGATTGTTTGAACATAAGGGTAGAGTTGTCTTTTTACTGCATTTTTGGTTAACAGAGAAAACAAACATAAGAGTAGAGTGGACGACACCTAAATTCCAATGTCTTGTCCAAAAAGAAAGATAAAAGAATCAGTCTACTTGTCACATTCCGGATTCCAAATCCAAATAATGAAGCTGAATAATACCAAAACTGAAGCAACAATTGATTAGGGCTTGGCCTAATGACTCTGTGGATTGTCTTGGTCGTTAGATTCTTCTCATTACGTTTTGAATTAAATCTTATTAGATTCTTCTCATTGCGTTTTGAATTAAATCTTATCGCTCTACTTAGTGTAGATTATTGTAGAATATCGCTTTTGTTCTTTTTTTTATTTTTTTTTTATTTAAATCTAGTGACACTCGTCTTCTTAATGTTAAAAGAAGTTTCAAATTCGATTCCCCAATGCCGAGATAGTTTCCATCAAGTTCGACTCCCTCGTTCCCAATTGATCACAATTGCTTGAAGTAAAGCTTTCGCTTTATCTTCCAACAACCGCTACGATGGAGCCTTAGGGACCAAAAAATAAAGTATAAAGATTGTAAGAGAAGAGAAAACAGAGCTCTATGGAATACATGGATGAAGAATTTTACAACCAACAACAAAAATCGGAGGTAGTAGTTTGTACATACTGATTTCCATCCGCCTTCTGGAAACGTACGAAGTATGATTCAAGAAACAAAAGCCTAATCGAGGAAACAAAATGCTGAGAGCAGAACTACAGCAGAGCTTCCTTCTTTTTGGGTTCTAGAACAGGAGGGTCGACATCGATCCCCATATTAGCTGCAGTCCCTGCTATGATTCGCATTGCTGATTCTATTGTCGTGCAGTTCAAGTCCGGCAGCTTTTCTTGCGCAATTGTACGCAACTGATCGATGGTGACCTTTCCCACTTTCTCCATCTTCGGGTCTTTTGAACCTTTCTCCGCTCCTGCAGAGTGCATACCATTCAGCACAGATGAACAGCTATTGCACAATTATGGTATTCAAATGCTAGTAAGGATTAAGGAACCGCATTTAATCAAGAAAAGATTTTTATGTGATTGGTCCGATTATAATCATATATGTGATGGCATACTATAACAAAGCCGAACTATTTCAACATGTCCAGATTAGTGATATTTCCAAAACAGTGGCCAAGACTTGATTTATAGCAGATATGACAGATATAATCAATGAAAATTCTCCGGTGTACACCGGAGCATACTAGAAGTCCTTGTAATCAAAACCAATTATTGTACAGATCAAAGAGAATAACAATCGAAGCCACAAGCATGAAAGTAAGCTTGCCACTTATACTTGGATTTGTCCTAGCATTCCAGCTATAGGTTTAAAACTTAATCGAACGAGAAAGAATGCCTAACTAAGTGTCAGATGAAAGCTCAACGGCCAATTCATAACGGCTGACTCAACATTCCTCACATTAATCAAAATTTCCTCATTTTCTTCATGTAATGCAAAATGCTCCCAGTTTTTAACACAGAAACATATATACATGAACTATATACACCAATACTATTTGGCAAAAGATAGGGCCCGCCAGCCATGAAGACATCAATACCCATTTAAAGATTTCAATCTACTACATCTTCCACTCATTTTTCTTGTTTGTTGATAAGATATAACATTCTCAACAAATTGTGAACTCACAAAGCTTATCACAAGAACATCTGCATTTATCCACTGGTTGAGCAGCAGCATTTAGAAAATAAACACGGCGACATATCTTCCGATTCAACGAAATGCCAATGTATGAGCAAAATTCAAAGAACCCCACATCAAACAGATAGATGGCACAATGATATAACAGAAAACAATCATACCTGCAGCCTTAAGAAGTAAAACCGAAGCAGGTGGGGTCTTCAGAATGAAAGTAAAACTCTTATCCTGGCATCAAAAAATCTGATAACAAAGTCACAATCTTGCAAAGAGTTGGAAAAATTATACCAAATTCGCAACGCAGACTAACATCGTAGACGGTGATTTCAACTGGAATGACATAGCCGGGCTTGTCCGCCGTCCTGGCATTGTAATCCTTACAAAAAGCCATGATATTTACACCCTTCGAACCCAGCGCCGGGCCGACCGGCGGAGCCGGAGTCGCCTTCCCGGCCTCCAACGCCAGCTTTATCATTCCAATCACTGCAAAACCGAAAACCCATCAACGAAATGAACTCAAATTCGTCGGAGGCGAAGCAAAACAGTGAATTTGGAATACCCTTTTTGGCTTTTCCTCCGGGCTTGGCTTTAGGTGGAGCCATGGCGGTGACGCTGAGGCGCCTCCGCGTGTGGAATTGGACGGAGCTGGTGGGGTTGGAGGAGAACATGCTGCTTATGCTTATCGGCGAGCCCCAAAGGGAGGAAGAGAGCTGACTCCTCACATTGTCGCGGCTGTTGGTACTCTGCGAGGCGAGAGAGGAGAGGACGTGGTGGGAGGCAGACACGGAGGACGCCATGGGAGAGGTTTGAGTTCACTGAGCAGTGTCTCAGCAGGAAGTCACAGTTTTTTGGATAAAACCCAGTGGAGTCCTAGGCCAAGAGACGACCCGAATCTCTATAACGCAGTGGAAACGACGTCGTAATAGCAGAGTAGTTGTTTGCTGGTTTTAGCGGTAGCAGCGAGCAGTTAAATACGTTTTGGGCTGGGATTTACGTGGGCCTAATTAGCCCATCGGACGTGAACAAATTAAGTCAATGTGGAGTGTTTGCAGTTGAAATCACAAGATCAATTTAGTTGGGTTATTTGGGTCCCTAGGTTTAGATATTGGGGTCGAATTAGTTGGGTTTAATTGTCCCAACTTCTTGAAAGGATTAGTTACACTAATCCAACAAAAATGCACATGATATGAAATTACGGTCGGATTGATTATGTCCAATATCTATCAATTTTGAGTACCAAACATAACATTGAATTACACCAATCCAAATCTAATGCTTATTAGCATGCACAACATGTAAGCTTAGTTGTTTTTAGGGCCAACAGATAGATAAGAAGAAAATTTCTTCTTTCTAATCCTACAATTTTTGAGGATGATAGAAATGAATAAGTTTTCTTATTGAATAATCTATATCCTCCCTCCAAGTTTATCACAATTTTTTTATTTTTTCCTTCAACATACGTTAAAAATAATATCTAACTATCTTTTGTATTCCAATACAATTTTTCATACCAAACGAGGCCTCCATTTGGTCAAGTCCCATTCCTTAGAAAGTTGGACAATTGTCCATTTTAATTAATCAAGTTCCATTCACCAAATAAGGCACAATAATGTAATCAGAGTGTCCATGAATTTCTCCCAAAAGGTACGGGGAATTAAGGTAGTAAAATATCCTGTAAACACATTTGTTTACGTGAATAGCTCTGTAGCTAACTGCATTCTTAATACTTGGGAGATGCAATAATAGAGACTGCACATGGTTTAGTTGGATGCAATATGGAATCGCTTTCACCAAATTATGTCGCTTTTTTAAGCTAATCAAACCAACAAGTAAATTGTTTCTTAAAAGTGAAACAAAAGAACCGCTCACATTTGGCACGCAAAATACAACACTTAGTGCCGGTGTTTTAGCTTTTAGACCGTTCAACATGAGCAACCGATATCAGACCTCTTGACAACACAAGCTACAAGTACTGCAATTACAAACCATCATCTTTAGATACATCATAAGCTTGAGAGAAACTCTCGATTTTTCAATTAAATAATATGATAACATGTTCGCAATACAACTCTAAAAGTTGTGTAAGTAGTTCCACAAAACCCAAATTAAAGAAGGACATAAAATACGAGAGTACAACATACCTAAAATAATTAGAAACTAGTATATGCCCACACACAAAGTGTGCGAAGTATTTTATTTTTATTTTTTAAATTGAAGGAGAGAGGAAAAGAGTGAGAGAGAACGTAGGAGTGAGAAGAGATTGAGAGAGGTTAATTTTTTTTAATTTTTTTTTTAAATTAGAAATGTTAGAATCACATGTAGGTGATGTTTAAACAAAAAACAGCAAAATTTTATTTTATCAAATTACGTTACTGCTCTTTAACTTTTTTGTTGTTATAGAAGACTAAATAGTATTTTCATCATCTTTTGATTGACAAAGAAAATTGGGGCTTTTAGATCCAAGTCCAAAAACATAGAGTGTTTTTAGGAATGAGTCCAGTTATCTAATTATATGTTTTTATTTCTTTTATACTCATTTTATATTTTCTAAAAATATTAAAAATCAATTAAAATCTTCTAATATTATGCATTTTCCAACTCCAAAAAAATATATTTAATATCTTATAACAAAAAAACTAATATACTAACATAAATTTATCTGCAAAACATTATACCCTAACTCAAGTAACAAATATATGAATGTATATAATACCTATAAGTGAGATATGAAACCTAATTAAAAGGTAGAAAAAATCATAACATACCTACAAGCAATACACATTAATCTATGACAGGTCGATTATAAAAAAAGAATCCGTCATATAGGTAGATAAATATAATTAACTTGTGATATAGATTGATTATAAAAGTTAAAAATAAAATCTATAAATGGGGTTTAAAGTAGGAGGAAGAACGAGAAATAACAAAAAGATAAATAAAAAGAAATAAGTAAAGATAATTGGGAAGCAATTTGATTTTTATAATAAATCTTATCATTGAACAGATAACTATTGATAATTAAATAATTAAATATAACAAATTGGACTTATTTTAATAAATTAGACTATTCCTACTATTAGCTCAAAAAATTGAACTTATATCAAGTTTCCCCAAGAAAATTTTATAAATATGTAGTTTAGATATATTTTGACCCATTAAACAATCAACTTTCATTTTCGTATTGGGGTTCCTTTCCGTGCTATCAAAAGATTTAAAACTAGTGAAATATGGGCACAGCACAATTGACACGCGACAAGTTAAGATTCCACAAAACAATCATGTAGGTTTGCCCAGATTGATTCTAATCCAATACTTAGTTTATGGCGACAAGAAAAAATGACCTAATCTTATTAAATTTGACCGGCCAACAATATTATGCAAGCTCCAAGGAATTTTTTTTTTTATTTTAATAAACTTGTCCTGGAATCTATTATCTATATAGTCATCCATCTATGCGGTGTTTTCTGCAACACAACTCCTTCAGATACATTCAAATTCAGTCCCTCTCACTCCCTTTACATCCATGGCGTTCTGTGTTGGTATTAAGATGCAGAAAGGGTCATGCAAAACCTTAACGACAGAGTTAGTCCTTGTACACTGCATCAAGATCTTGGTGATAGTGGCACTTAGCCATCTGGGAATTCTCCAACCTTTCCAACAGATGACTGAACCAACTACTGACTCCATGGAAAATCATCCCACCAATTCAATACTTGTGTTCGACCGTTTGTACCCGTCGATATCCCCGGTGCCTCTCCATATACTAACAGCATGTATCAAGAGGCTTCCAGTGGTAGAGTTTGGTCAAGTTTTTGAAAAAATCACAAAGCATGAAACTCAGGAGACAGTTTGCAGCATATGCTTGGAGTGCAAAGAGAGAAGCCATGAGGTGAGGGAACAGTGCAAATGTGATCATGTGTTTCACAGGGACCGTCTAGATAGTTGGGTCAATCAAGGGCAAGTGACCTGCCCTTTGTGCAGAGCCCTGTTGTTTCCGGCCAAGAGAGAAACGACGAGCTGCGGTGGAGAAAAGTCAGGGACGATGGACAGGGATGGTTACCTTAATAGGTTAGAATTCATCGTGAGATGAATAGTTTATAATGAACTCTTACCCGCAAGCCTCAGACTCTGTAGAAATAATTTTTCTTGGTATGTACATTTTTTACAAAATTACTAGCCTTTTCTTTCCGTAGGTAACTTAAGTAACAATTCATTCACTGTCGGAGCGTATTGTATATAGAGCTTGATGGATTCCCATGTTTTCATAGAGTTATGGGGGAGTTTAGTTGATTTCCATAAATCCATGTGGATTTTAATTGAATTTTAAATACGTTTTAACGGAGTTTGTGAGACCTTTATTATTAATTTAATACAACTTTGTGAATTATCATGGAAGTTTTAATAATCAATTTATTAATAAACATTGTTATTTTGAAATTTTTCATTATTTGAAATGGTGGTTTAACCATGAAAAAGTGGTCGTTTGAGGCGGTAACAACAACGATGATGGTGGAAGTGTCACGTGGTGATTGTTGGCAAGTGGTGATAGTACATGTGGTGTCTTTGGTGGCGGTGATCACAATAGGGGTGGTGAGATTGTTGTGGTAGAGTAGTGGTAATGTGGCCATGGTGATGGCTAAGGCAAAAGGTGCTAGTGATCGAGGTGGTAGTAGTGGTGTTGGTGGTGATCCTGCTCATAACCATGACGGCGGAATAGGGTAGCTAGTAGTGGAGTTTGGCCGTGTTTTCAAAAAATACACAAAGCAAGAAGGACAGGTGACAGAATGCAGTATATGCTTGGAGTGCATTGACAGAAGTCATGAAGTGAGGGAACAGTGCAACTGTGATCATTTGTTTCACAGGGAGTGTTTAGATGGTTGGATGAATCAAGGGCAGGTGACGTGCCCTTTGTGCAGAGCTGTGATGTTTCCGGCCACTGGTGAAAAGACGAGCTGCGGCGGAGGAAATGTATGGACGGTGGACAGGGATGCTTACTTTGAACCTTTGATAGGTTAGAACTTAGAACTTAGAATTTCACTGTGGGATGAGTAAATTTTTGTTGACTCTTTCCCAGGGCCGGCCAAGGCCCAATATGAGCAGGACGACTGTCCGGGATCCAAAAAATTAGGGCACCAAAGTTATTGATGTGATATATTTATATATATTTTCATAAGAGTATAAATTTATAAAATTTGGTTTAATGACAAAGAAATTTAATTAGAACCAGTAATTTTGTTGTTTGAAATTAATGAGGAGGTCTTGGGTTCAAAACACTATGTATGCTTATTTAAATTCCAATTTTTACAAATTTCTTTTCATAACAGTATAAATTTATAAAATTTGGCTAAATGATCAGAAGTTTAATTAGAAACAATGATTTTTGTATTTAAATTTAACAAGAGGTCTTAAGTTCAAAATGCTATGTGCATGTTTATTTTTGAGGCACTTTGATTCAAGTCCAAAAAATTCAGTTGTTTTTTAATTGGGTCCAGTTTTATTTGATTTTCTATTACACATGTTTTGCCCCTCGAATTTTTTTTTTTTTTCATTCTTTAAATTTGAATTTTTAAAATTTGAATCTTCAAATACCTTTATCTACCCGTTTTCTAATTAAAAAGGCATTATTACAAATCTTATAAGTTTATCAAAAATTAAAAGAAACGTTGCCAGAGGTAGATAAAAAATAAAATAAAAAATTTGTGATGTAGGTAGAATCTATGATAGAGATAGACTATGAACAAAAACCTATTGTATAGATAGATTATACAAAATAATCTACGATACAAATAGACTATGAACAAAAACATATTGTATAGGTAGATAACACAATTAATTTGTGATATATAGGTAGATAAACAGAATTAATCTTAGATAAATTATCAAAAAAATATGTAATATATATAGGTAGATAAATACAATTATTCATGATACAGGCACAGTATAATATAAAAAGATAAAAAAAAAATGACAAGTGATATAGGTAGATAAAAACCAAAAAAAAATCGTGAAGAAAAATGATATTGAGGGAGGAAACATTAGAGAAAATGTTAATTCGATAGAACTTCAAAGTTAAAAAATATATATAAAAAAAGGAGAACGAAGCCAAAAAAAAAAAAAAAAGATGAGACGAAGAACCCAAAACACAAGATTGACTAATACAATTTTTTTTTTTAAACCAACCAAATGTATATTGATCATCCTTATGAAACGAGGAGCAGAAGAAAATTATTATGGTAGAAGACTACTAGGAAAAATAACGGAGGAAGAGAAAGATATTGTGAGGGAGAAACAAGAAAAGAGAAATGAACGACTTGGGGAAGGAGAAGAAAAAAAGGAGATTTAAATCCCTAACCCTATACTTAAGGATAAGATTAACCTTAATCAGAAACTTAAAAAAAACAGTAATTACTTAATTGGTCAATTTAAGGGTAAATTTGGCAAGAGAATACAAATTATAAGCTTATGTGGACAATGAATCACTGGACCTAACCTAAAATTTAAACAAAATTGGACTGTAACTAATAATTAATGGCTCATAAAATTGGACTCATATTAAGTTTCCCCTTTATTTTTTTCAATTTTTTACGAATTTTTGTTTGGTTGTTAATTTATTTTTAATTACTAGCTAGTAACTATGTGGGTTGCTATTTTTAAACATTCATTCCAATTCAAGTCTAATCTTCAACAAAGGGTAATGCGTAAACTAAATTTTTAGACCAAATTTGCAAATCATATGACGTGTCATCAAAAGATTTAATTTGGTGCCCATTCACTACTAATACATATCCTTAAAGACTCAAAAATATCATTATTTTTTTAGTCCTATATTGACGAGGTTAGTAACTAAGAAAAAAACGCATCACGATTATACAAAAACACTTTAAAAGTTCAGATGGAAGACAAAACTCATAATCTATCTACTTGTAAGCTTGAAGTTTTTTGGTTTCCTTCTCTCAATACAAAATAAATTAGTTTTTCGGTGTTTCTAAATTAGTGAGTTTGAAATGTTTTTCTAAATATAATTTTATCGATGTCTTGCGTGTAAAAAAAATATTTCTTTATATGAAGTGAGGGTACATTTTTTAACGTCGGCCCAGGTCTCAAAATCTCTAGACCGGCCTTGCTCTTTCCCACAAGCCTCCCTAACTGTAAATTTCTTTTTTTATTTAAATAGTTTGTACAAAATTACTAGTTTTTGACTTTTTAGGTAACTCAACAAAATGAGTAGCCCGTTATATAGAGAACGACTTAAGTGAAATAAGCTTATTGTCATATAAAGTCTTCAATAAATAAGATGAGATTATGTATTAGACTTTTTCTATGTCACCGTGTATTAGTTGCACGAATTGTCATGATAATAAATATGATAAATCTCTCAATAAGGTATAGACAATTAACTTTAAACTGAAGTTGAAGATGAAATTCGGAATTTGATTTGCTCAAGACCCTAGTATCCGAAACTTAAGGATCTGGACCGTACAAATTCAATTCAAGGTCATTATTAACTCATTTTTCTGACCTACCACACAAAACAAACGACTTTAATTTCTTTTACACACCAATCAGCAGTTTAGATAATTTGATCTCTAAAATCCAGAACGGATCCAATTCCGAAATTCCATTGGCTTAGCTTTTGGGAGCTTCAAGGGGCAGAAATGACAATGAATACCCACTGTAATGAAATATATGTTCAATGAGTCCCCGGCTTCTTTTTGGTCTAGTGGAAGTGGTTGAGTCGTCATGTCAAATTTGATGGCCTCCAGAAAAGCAAATGTTTATCAATCCTTGTGGTAGATTCCGTAGACATTCTTCAAGATCACATGGTTGGGTACATACGATCGTATTTCACCTATAATACATTCATATTACCTCGATAATACATATCTTCACCTCCTGAAACTCTAAGGTGTTGCCTAATAGCGAGATAAAAAACAAATATGCACAATGTTGTACGTAATTTTAGTCTACATGATACAATAAAGGTTAAATACCCGACTACCGGTAATCCGGAGCATCCAAACCTTTTTGCAGCAAGGGTTAACACTATTTACATAAGTAATCAAAAATAATATTTAGTGAACAATACATTGTTGCTATTGTCTGGACAAATGCCCATCGGCACATAACATCGCTTTATTTTATTGTCATGAAACAATTAAATTAAAACAACAACTAAAATTAAACACGAGTTATGAGAGAACCAAAAAAAATGTATAATTATTATTTTCCAATTATGTTGTTGCAACTTGCACATTGACAATTTGAAGGCCAAGTACAAATACTTTAAAAATACGACTCTTTCTTTTCCCTCCGGGCGGGGCAAAACTCAGAGGCCAACCGTCCAATACAAAAAGTTAACTAACTGTGACAGGTCGGCTAAATTGACACACGTCGGATTGGGGTTGCAGATATTGTTCTTATCCCAACGCCCAATGAGTCCGACCGACATCCAGTGCTGCTTATACTTTTTCCCTCCTGGTCGCCGAATCCTAGCCAATCCAATCCAATCCAATCCGGAAGGAAAGGAACCCTCAATACTTAAATGTTTATCCATCTGCTTTCTCTCTGCAACACAAACACCTCCAATCCCTCACCCCTCTAATCCCCCATGGAATTCCCCTGCGTTATTAGCATGTCCAAATTGCGCAAAAGCCTTGAAAAACTTCTAATCTTTACACACTGCTTAAAGATCGTAATGATAGTAGCACTTAGCCATCTGGGACTGCTTAAACCTGCAGTAGAGATGAATGAGCCAACTGCCAACTCCATGGAAGACCACCAGCATCCGAATCCGAACAATTCGATACCGGCGCTCGATCCTCAGTGCCCGTCGTTAGTCTCGATCCCGATCCACGTTCTAACGGAATACATCAAGAGGCGGCTTCCGGTGGTAGAGTTTGGTCAAGTTTTCGAAAAATACACAAAGCTTGGAGATCAAGATACAGCTTGTAGTATATGCTTGGAGTGCATAGAGAGGAGCCATGAGGTGAGGGAGCAGTGCAACTGTGACCATGTGTTTCACAGGAAGTGTCTGGATGGTTGGGTCAATCAGGGGCAGGTGGTCTGCCCTTTGTGCCGAGCAATGCTGTTTCCCGGCAAGAGCGAAACAGCAAGCTGCGGCGGAGGAAATTTAGGGTCGACGGAGAGGGATGACGCTTACTTCGATAGGTTAGAATTCATTGTGAGATGAGTAATTTTTCTTTGAACACTTCTGCAATTTTACTGGTAAGCCACATATGTAATTTACCAATTCAATTACTTGATGTGTACATATTTCTCATGAAACACTTGAGAAACTGGAATTAAACAACAAAATGTGAACATTTTAGTAGAAATATTTATTTTTTTTTTTCCTATGAACATTTCTTACAAAATTACTAGTTTTTTTCTTTTGCTAAGTGGTAATTACCAATTTGATTAAATTCTTGAAGAGATTCGATAACATTCTTAGAGCACTTCCAATGTTGGAAGGCCCCAGCCAACTGCCTATTAATCTCATCTAATGAATATATTTTTAATGAACAGTAATTATCTTTTATATTTTTAATTTTAAATTAAATAATCATAATAATAGGTATTAATATATTAATATTTTCTATGTTATAAAAAATAAAAAATAATTTTATTTGTAATTTTAAATAATATTTTTAATCAATCTCGTTACATCATATTTTATTAAATAATAAATTACAACCAAAATATTTAAAAAAATATAAAATAGTAATGTAAGATAAAAGATAATAATAAAATATATATGGAAAAATTAAATCATTTTTTTATTTTTTAATTTTTTTTCAAATTTTATTAATTTTTTACATTTTTTTGGTAGGTGACGTCGATCTCTCACACAACCCCACCATAGCCCAATCACCCACATGGGCTGAAGTGAGGAAAGGACAGGATTGGGTTGATTTGGTCCCCTGTCCACAGGATTATCAGCTCCGGTGGAGCTGCTCTTATAAGCCTCAAATCCGAACGAATTGGCAAATACTTTATTTCCAAATCCTCTCTCGGACATAACAACAAACACCTTGCCTGCAATAAAAAATGGATTCGCTTCGAAACGAGTCAGACACTCCGAAAGTGTAACAGAACAACAAATTGTGCACAATATTTCTTTGAACTAATATATCTTCGTTGATGGAACTGGAAGCAGAACAAGTCTGATTGGGAATTACATAGGGGAACTCAGAAAATCAAAAAGCCCCAATTTGAACGAGGGATTTGATTCTACATATGTTGATTTAACCTCCGAAACCATAGAGGGTTCGACCCTGCCTCTTGAGAGCATAGACCACATCCATGGCAGTCACAGTCTTCCTCCTGGCGTGCTCGGTGTATGTTACAGCGTCACGAATCACGTTCTCCAAGAAGATCTTGAGAACCCCTCTGGTTTCTTCATAGATGAGGCCGCTAATGCGCTTGACTCCTCCTCTGCGAGCGAGCCTTCGGATGGCCGGCTTGGTGATCCCCTGGATGTTGTCCCTCAACACCTTCCTGTGCCTCTTGGCTCCGCCCTTTCCCAGCCCCTTTCCACCCTTTCCTCTCCCTGTCATTTTCCCGGAAAACTTAAATTTTCTGACCTCCCAAACAGATTTTTTGTGAAAATTGAAGTGAAAGTGGTGAATGAAGAACTGAGAGGGAAGGGGGGATTTTATACTGGGGAGCGGAATCGAGCGGTCTTTTAAATTTTTGCGTTGCCGCCTCAGCTCAGATTTGTGCGCGGATTTTTTTCGTTTTGTTTCAATTAGCACCGTTGGATTGAAACTTATCGACGGCTGACCTTGTCGATCCGCGTGAATGGAAATTTGCTTTAAGGTCACCGTTGATTATGGGTCATCGGACGGCTGATAGAAGTTACGGAAAGAAAAGTTAGATCGTGCAAATACGGTTTTTCCGCTGCCGCAGTTTTTACCTTTTACTTTTCATTAATACGACGCCAGTTTGCCTATGGGATTTTTGTTTTAAATTCCATGTTTACGTTCGTTACATCTGTTCAAGAGGAGTAGGCTAATTGGGATTATAATTTCATGTTTGGTGCGGTAAAAGATTAAGTTTAATAAGACTAGCTTGGATTTGTTCAAACTCCACCCCTCGCTAAGTGCTCTTAAAGCATCTCCAACACAATCAATTTGCAAGCACATTGCAATTTGATTAGTTTCTCAAGACTTCGTCAACAAGAGTTAGCTAGTAACATTACAATGATATTGCTAGTTACTTACTTAAAGCATAAAAACTGATTTGCAAAGTATTTAATTCTCCACTCTCAATCCATTCCACAATCGTTTATAAAACAAAAAGTGCACTTTTAAAACCATAACAAGCGTTTAGTAGACAATAACGTCACTAAAACTAAAACTTGATTGTATAGCACAATCTATCGTTTGACACCATCTCAATATTATAGGGTCTTAAACATACACTAGATAGTTTGCATAAATAAATAAAAAGTGACAATGCATTTTGTTCAAATTTCATAATTTGACTATCCAATCAAGTGATATTTTATTCATAGATTTTGAAACTCAATCCAATTGGACATATGCTTGAAATTTAGTCCAAGCCAATATCAATTGCATTAATTTCGTCAGATTAATTTTTCAAGTACAAAATTACCAAAAACACAAACCTTAAGAGTTTATTATTCAGTCACATTGTTTGCCAGATTTCTCATACACCAACAAACGATTGGAATCCGATCACGCGAATCCCCACCGGATTTCTGACAATATGCTCACCATCTGTCCAAGTTAGGCTGCCAAACTTGTAACCTACATTCACTATTTGAGTAGAGAAGAAAGTAACTTTGAAGGAAAGAATTTGGGTGGATATATCGGTAACTTCGAATTAAATTGTCCCACATTTGTCACGGTTCTTGTCACAGTTGTCGCTCTTTCGAGGTTTGGAATTGTGATAGAAGGTAGGTTGAGGTTCATTCCATGACATTTCGTTAAGCAATTTACTGTGTTCTGGGTTAATCTGGTAGCCGATGCGCTAGTGTAACCGAGGGAGCAGATGAACTGAATGTAATCCTCTGTACCAGTATCGAAGATGAGTCCTGGATCGATTGCCTTGTTGGATCAACATGCCCTCTGTAATAGCTGATTTTACTGCAGACTTAATGAGAGCTGCTATTCCTGCCACATGACCACACGCCATTGAAGTTCCCGATGGCAGCTCGTAAGCGCTGCGATGTTTCGTGTCAAGTGAGCGAAATGCAGCTGTGACGTCTACTCCCGGTGCAGCTATGTCCATCTATGTTCATAGATCAAATGACACAATGAAAATATGAAGATAAAAAACATATTAGTATGTGTTTATCTTTCTCATCGTAAATTACATGATGAGAGGGATAAACAAATAATAGCACACAACTCCAGTGAAATCCAAGGAACCTGGTTCTCTGTTCCCCATTGCACCCACTTTCATAAGAATTTCAATTCCACATTGAAAGACAATGGAGTGATGAACCATAAGTTTCCTATCCTTATCCTCAAGGTTGTTTGCTGCTGAGAGTTGTCATTTCTCTTCAAACTCTTCATCGGATATACTTTCTTGTATTCTCTCCTATCTTTGGGGATTTATAGAATTGTTATTTGTATCAAGCACATCTTGTAACTTACTGATGTAAATCATCACTATAAATACGCACTTACAACCTCTCTCAGATTTAACTGAGTTGAGCATCAACAACTGTTTAAGCCTTTTACAATCTTATGCGTGATTATTTCTCCTTTATGGAGTCCATAGTTGTTCATCAAGCATTCATACTCCCTCATACATTTTTCAACAAGCATTACAAAATCAACAAAACAGAGGGGAAGTAGACCTAATCTTCCGAAATATTCCCATTACTATTACAATTTACTGGATGACTATATGATCTGCTCAATTGGTATCAGTATAGGATCGTAGGATTTGTGTTCTCACAGATATAGGACTTGTCACAGCATGCACCCCATCAGTCCATGTCAGGCTTCCGAAAAAGTATGCTGTGTTCACTCGGTAGGTGGTGGAAACCTCAACTGTGAAGCAGAGTTTCTTAACTGTAGAGTTGAACACCAATGTCTCTGGCCTGACGACTACATTGATGCCTGGTGGAGGCTCGATTTGGGCTTTATACGTTGAGCTGACAGGACCAACATTCGTTACGGTTCGAGTGAGTGTGATAGGATTTCTTAGGTTTTGAATGGTGATGGAAGGCAGGTTCACATCAAGAATTGAAGGCTTTGGAACAGGACATGACGTGGCATGTTCAACAAGTAGAGTAACAGTTGAGGTGTCGTAGCCAAACGCACAAAGGTGGTTTATGTAGTCATTGGTGCCCATATCGTATATGAGACCAGGGTAAGCTGCCTTGTTCGGGTTCACTAATCCTCCTCCATAGTCAAATGGATCAGCAAGCTTCAGCCCTGCCCCTTCAACAAAGATTGGCTCTCCAAATGGATCAGTCTTCCATGCTACAAAAGAAGAAAAAAGTTTTGTTATTATTAGTATGCTGACATAATCACGAAACCATCCAATTTCACCACATTACAGACACTTGCTATTCACTTGTACTCTAACTATTATGGTTTTAGATCAACCTGTTGTGACTAGTGCTGATTTCATTGCAGCAGGGGACCAATCAGGGTGCAATGATTTTAGAAGTGCCACAATGCCTGCAATGTGGGGAGCTGCCATTGATGTCCCCCACATCAAATCAAATCCTCCATCCCCTGCGGGACTGGCTGCTAATATATTCACACCAGGCGCGGCTATATCTGGCTGCGATCAACAAAAAGCTATATTCAGCTGAATCTAAAGACACATTGCTTAACAGGACTAATGTTGTAGCAAATTCTACCTTCAAAATTGTTGGAGCGATGGCATTGGGTCCTCTAGAAGAGAAGGGAGCAACTTTAGTCGATACAGGCTTTCCCGTCAGTGTCTTAGAAGGGCTCAGTTTTACAATAGGAGATCTGTGTACCACAAAGAGCAGCCTTGTCACTTTTTTTTTTACAAAGAGAATAATGATTCTTAAATAATTATAGTGGTGGAAAAATGAAGATACCTTGTGGAACGAATGTAGGACATTATCTCAGTGCCAAGTTCGTAGTCAACTCCAATGAAGGGGAAGTCATCACTCCAATTAACCAAGGGACTACTAGGATTCCTTGCAATAATCAACCCGACTCCGCGGGCCCTTGCAACAGCACATGCAGCAACATATTCTTGCCAGATCTCCGTTATGAAGTAAATGGCTACATTTCCATCCACAAGTGTGTTGTTGTCGACTCTAAAGGAATTGCAGGCACTGCGAGTATTTTGTGTCATGGTTTTGGTTCCCAAAACTGAAAGAAATTTACTTACAATGGGGATGCCACTATGGCGGTATCCAAGCCAACCATGCATTGATGTGAATTTTAACTTTCCAACACTGCAGTATATGATTAGCTTGAGATACTGCCATAGTGGTTTTAGGTAGGTTTTTCTCTTCAACATCACCAGCAAACAAGATAACAAACAAACTGAAAAAAAAGTGAGAATAAATACATTACCCATCTGCTGTATGGAAGGGTTCTAAGCTTTCCAAATGCACCAAACCAACAAAACCAACCTCTTTTCCTACAAACAAGGCTTGCCCCTGAAATATTTATAAAACAAATCAATGGAGTAAAAGTAAAAAATATTAATGCTTAATCAGAAAAAGGAAAGTCATATTAATGATCAATTTAGAGAAGTTAATTTGCAACGTATTTTGTATGAGTTACCAGTAGAGTTTTGTTATTTCCGAGCGTGATGGGCGTGGGGAAGGATCTGTCCATGGTGGTAGCTGCAACAGTTATGATCCAGGGTGCCACGTTCGACACTGTCTGAGGAGCAGGTCCAGCATTGCCTGCAGAACAAACAACGGTAATACCTTTGGCCACAGCATAGAATGAGCCTATGGCAATCCCATTGTGCATACCAACCTCTTCAAACTTAAAATTAGGATCGTCACTGCCAATAGAGATCGACAATACATCTACACCATCATGTATTGCTTCATCAAAAGCTTTAAGCAAATCAGCATCAGTGCAACTGGGTTCTGGCCCACTTCGTCTCCAACATGCCTTGTACACGGCCAAATGAGCCCGTGGTGCACCACCTCGGACAACTCCTAGGGCAAGCCCTTTGTAACTTGCATTGGCCACAAAGGAACCAGCAGCGGTTGTGGCAGTGTGTGTTCCATGTCCATATGCATCTCTCGCAGAGTAGTAGTCCATGTTGAAAATCAATGTCAAAGATGTTGAAAATCAATGTCAAAGTTAGGTATGGAAAATTAGGCAATGTTAGGCATGGTTGAATAAAAATAAATTAGGTGAAATTAATGTGTTTTGTGTGGTAATAAATAATCTTAGTTTATTCATTTGGTTTGCTATAAATACCCAAGTTCTCAAGCATTGTAAATCATCCAAGGAAAAACAAAGCCTAGAGCTAAATAAGAAAAGCTTTGCTAACTAGTTTGTTTTGTGAGCTTTCTTTAAGAGTGTGTTCTATTTTCTTCTTCTTGGGATCATTAGAGTTATCTTGGATACTCTTCTTATTCAACAATTGGTATCAGAGCCAAGTCGGTCAGGGATCGTTCTTGGTAGAGCATTGGTTGTAAAGTCTCTTGAAATTCCGAGTATGCTCTGTGGTTGCAGTTTTGACTGATCTTCCACATCAGAAAAGGTTTCTTGAGATTATTGCTGGGGTTATCACAAACCTTGAGAGAGAGCTTCTTTGTGTCGAGAGTAGTGTATTACTCTGCACGGTAGTCACTCAAGCTTGTTCGGTGTAGTCAAAGTCTTGCCGATACGATGGGTGATCTTCAAGTTGTTGGAGGAATCAAGAAGCTCAACAACCAAAACTATAACACGTGGGCAACGTGTATAGAGTCTTACCTTCAAGGTCAAGACTTGTGGGAGGTTGTCGGTGGTAGTGAAGCTACACAACCGGCAGCAGAAGATGCTAACGGCGTCTTGCGGAAGTGGAAAATTAAAGCAGGCAAATCAATGTTTGCTTTAAAGACCACAATAGAAGAAGAGATGTTGGAGCACATTCGGGATGCTAGAACGCCAAAGGAAGCATGGGACACTTTTGTTACACTCTTTTCGAAGAGGAACGATACAAAATTGCAACTTCTCGAGAATGAGCTGCTATCGATGGTACAACGCGACATGACGATTGCCCAGTACTTTCACAAGGTGAAGTCGATATGCCGTGAAATTTCAGAATTAGATCCAACA